CCAAACACCACGAATCTAAATCAGTTTGACAATTATTGAGAATGTTGATTCAATCGTAACTGTTGACTCTTGGATAAGCAAATTACGAAGTCATTAGTTAGGGGCTTTTGTTTAGTACACCCACTTTCTTATATCCTAGGTGTAGCTCTCTACTCTAAAAGAGACTTTACATGAGAAGTAACCCTAATAATGCAAATCGTAAAGGGACCTTAGACAACCGGCTTCTGAAAGAAAGCTCATATCATTCAACTATGCCAATGTTTCTGTAAAACGGTATCTGACGGAAGTACGGAGGGCAAGTAGCTTGAATGTAGCCGGAGTTGGGTTCGCACCAGGAACTTTCCAATTACTAGCTAGCTCCCCACTCTCGGAACTCATTTGAAATCAGAGGACAGTGCTTGGCTTAACTGACATTTACTGGCGAAGAAGAAACTATCAGTAATCGTCACTGAGTTGAATATCCTAAGTTAAATTTTCACCGCCATTTGACTTCCATCTCTACGGACAACTGGGTCCATTATTTGGAGATGTACTCGTCGTCAACGCATAGAACATTCTATTAGAGGTGGAAGACTGTAAAAGCAACCGTAATCAAGCACAAGCAAGCAACATTTAATCTGATTCTTTCTACACAATGTATCGACAGTGGTCAGCTACTTCTGATTGCAAGCTTGGAAGCAATGCTATTCTCTAAAAAATTTAAAAAAAACAGGTCCATGTATATCGCTTCGACAAAAATACTGATGTGGAACTGTTATTCAGACGGCAACATTAAAGTACAGGTGGTAATCGGCTAAATTTACCTGAGATCTGATGCACAAACAGAAGGGGAACTCTAAGCAATACAACTGCTGGTTGTTAGGAAATACAGCAGCTGTAAACAAGCGCACCTGCTCGCTTGTATGAATATCCATACTGATGAGGTCATCCAACTACAGATCCTTTCACAGTGCTTCCGGTCTAATTCAGCCTAAAAGAGCGGGTGTCCGTTTTGGCACTTTATCTATAAACTACAGTTGGAGGTGACGGTGCTGCGTATCAAAATACAACGCTGTTGGTCGAACTATACAGTTCTCACATTGGTCGAAATACATGGTACTTATGTTTGGAATGAGACAGCGGTGTCGACCAATCGAACTTCCAGGAACTTTATCTCTTCATGCCCATACTGTTTGTTGTTCCAGCTGGAGGCCTTTGCGCTCCCTCCAGTATGACACCACGCCGTATAAGACATTCGATTTCTTTGTCCCAGACACAAGCTATTATGTTGTTCCTACTAACTCTGAGAAATGACCTCTCTAAAAGAACATGATGCCAATGTGGCCTTTCTCACTGGGTCCTTGGAGAAATGTGCATTCGGACACACATGATTGGTGAATACATTTGGTCACTCGGATTCTGTTCAGCTGTTTTAGTTAAGATTTTTAGAAAGAAGTCAACGTTTTTAGACAGCTCGTTTTTTTAAACAAGTGGTGACCGGAGAAACAAAGTACTACTACTTCAATACGTGTATAGCTGATGAATTATATCCAACCAAACTGTGTTGCTTCCAGTCAGAACCAAAACTTCTTTGCATGATTTATCAAGCTGCCATCCAGACACTTTCCTACCGAATTATGTTTCTTGAGGAGAATTTTGCCAGTACTTGGGACCAACTCTACACTTCTCCATGATAAAAGGCTCGCCACCGAGAGATAATTCCAGTGCGACAACTTTGGTGGATCGTTCTTTAGGACAGTAGGGTACCAAATATGAGTAATGAGTTTTGATACGAGAATCTAGCATTTGTACCTATGAGGCTAAAAAAACTCAGGCATTAGTTCACTGAGAAGTACAAAATACACACATAAATGCATACATGGTGCGAGTTTCTGCATAACCTTGTCCTTGGAAGAAGAAGATACGCGCACAGTAGTACGGGGCAGAGCTAACAATAGATCGTACTGTCCTGAGCAGCGATACAACACTAGCACCAGAACTGGGTCGGCAAAGTGCAGTAACATGTGCACACGCTGGACCAACACTTGTGCTCTTTGGATTTCAACCTGATATCAGATGAAACCGCCGTTTTTGCATGACCTGTTTCCAACAGTTTACTGCAAACCGAAACAGTGAGCATTGTGTCCACCATCCACATGGTTGTACTTGTCAGTATACCAGCTTCTAGTTGAGAATCAAATCATCCATCGTTAGCCGCCACCATATTGTTAAGCATTGGCTTCGGTTCAAGTTATCACCTTGGAAACGCTCATCCGATGAGCTATGTCCCGGAAGATAGTTTGGTACCACACCCCTTCTCTGACAAACGTAACAGTAAGTCGAAGGTGAGAGAGTGCCTGTAACACGACTGTGACCCCAGCACGGATATGAAACGCACACGAGGGTTGTCACGTCGCTTGAAGTTCGCTTGATTTATCCGACCACCATTATCGAGTGACGGCTTGATATACCCGTCAACAACTCAGCTTCCTGAATCGATCTTTGTAAGAAAATAATTCCTTGTATTTTGTGTGCTACGATCGTTCTTTGTGCATAACACTCGGAAAATGTTTGCTCACCAAACGGACAATACCGAAAAGTGAACGGATCCCAAAATTTACACGACAAGGGAACTAAAGACATCTATCTCCATGGGGCTAAAACATCTCTGTCATGAAGTGAAGACAGTTCTTTGCCTTATACTAACACTTTAATGATAGGAAATCCTCCCGAGGTTGGTCAGATCAACATTTAAGCAAACCGCAACTCCGCTGGGATTTTAAAATAGACTAGACTTTCGCTGTATCTTCAGCTGCATGAATCGTTTCGGCCAAGCACCAGAACAACGGAAAAAATTCATCATGCTCGGACGCTGAGACACGAAAATAATGTACCCGTGAAGTAGGGTGGTCCCCCAAGATGACACTTCACTAGAACCCCAAAAGGCACTTTGCTCTTCAAGGAAAATCCGCCACTACTAACGGCCATTTATGGTTTTTTTCTCGTAGTCTCTTGTTTTTCTCTTTTTCTGAATGTATCAAAGACAACTTGCAAACATCGAAAATTCCCATAGGGTTTGGTTGAAAATGACCAGTATCCAATCAAAACTGTGTGTGGGAATTAATTTTATCCACAAAGTCTCAGGTAGAGAAATTTTGACATTCGATGCGAGGATGTGGGAAGCTGAGACTACTGTGGTCGTTGTTACCTACCTCCAAGTTTTAATGCTCAACTAGGATATTAGCACGAGACCTGTAACCTTTACACTAAAATGAACGCAGTAATTTAAGCTGAATCTGCCGCAACAGCTTTATAGCTGATACACCTCGATGGCGAACGCAGTAATTTAAGCTGAATCTGCCGCAGCAGCTTTACAGCTTTATAGCTGATACACGTCGATGGCGAAGGCTTGAGCTTATGCAATGGGATGGTGGCGTTATCATAAGGAACCACACCAGCCATTCAAATTATTCGATGCATTTCATGGTCATGGGACTGTTGCAATATGTACTTGTGAACCTCACTAGCTAAATATGGTACCTGGATGTGTCAGTACAGATCCCTTCACAGACCCGATGAATACCGATTACTAAATTGCGAAAGGACCATTGGCTCCAACTGAATACGCTGTGACAGTTGGTACAATGTTCGATAAATCGCAGTGCCTCGTTATTTGTACACAAAACACTACTCGTAAGGTTGACGAAGGGTTTTCAGTAAACGTGTGTGTGTGACGTGCGAAAACAGCAGTTTGATGGAAGGACAGTTTCGTCCCAACTCGTACGTTTGAAAGAAGTTCGACTCACATTGCTGCACTACGAACTATGACTTACTGTCGTAAAAGCAAACAGCTCTTCTGTAGAGAAGTCGACAGCTGCAGCTGACAGTAAACACGTTCATACCACGCAACCAAAGTACCACACGCATAACTTGTCTTGTCTAACTGCGAGTGACGGAACCAATGTAGAGTCACGTCGCGCTTCACACGATCCCTGCACATACAGAAACGTCTAAATGCGTTGAAGTCCAAACTGTAAGATGTATCGACTGAATAACGACCGAGGCGAACTTGATGGCCTCGCCATCCAAATGCTAACGACCACGCTTTTTAGAAGTTGGGCGGGATTGAATTCAATGAACGATTTTATAATAAGGAGTTATGGGTCAATACCAAAACTCGCAGCACTTCAACGGATTACTGCAGCAGTTCCCAAGACTAAGAAGCAACATATGTGGTTTGGCCACTTTACATTGGCTACGCCTGTGGAATCAGCATCCGGATCGACAAACTCTGTTAGGAAAATTCTTTGACTTCTTGAAGTGAACCAAGGAGAAACATACCAGACGAACGCAGCTGAAACGCTGTGAAAACAATTTTTCGCACTGATAATTCAAGCAACTCCTGTAAGAGTGCAGAAGCCTGCCGAGAAGCACTGTACAACTATTTCATCCTTATTGGGAATCATCAGCAGTGCGCCTCTCACGAAGCTCAGAGTTTCCAACCTGCGACCTTTCGGTCAATGGTTGGACGTGTTATCGTTTGGCCCCGAGCGGCTGATTAGGTCTCACTTGGACGAAATATAGCGCCGCTCATTCCTCAATCGCAGAAACCACATCACGGAGTCACTTAATGACAGCCTCTCGAGTCACTGACAGATTGATGATGGTGCGAGGGGATCTCGTCCAGTCAAAAATTACCAAATCTCCTCACAACAGCACCAATCGATCAGTGGCTCCGAGGAAGAATGGTTTCACGAAATAAGCGAAACTTCTCTCTGAGAAATCATCACTCAAAGAGCCAGTCAATGAGTGAGCACGCGATGTGGTTTGTGATTGAAGCATGAGCGGCGCTCGTCTTTCACCACTCCATAAAAGTACGAAGCAAGACAGACAGGCGAACTTTACCAAATCCGCACACCCAGACGGTCAATTATCGTTGAAAAACAGCCGCGGAATCTACGCAATCTGAAATCCCAACTTCTTAGTATAAACAACACAGCAGGTATTCGTACGTAGTGTATGTTGGTATGACGTAAGAAAAACAGTAGTTGTGGAAGTTTTGTTTCCGGTATTGTAGTGGTAGAGTCAGTTGTGTAGTAAAGTAACAATAAGGCATCCAGAAGTTGAAAAAACGGACTGTGGTAGTCGTTGTAGGTACTTATCTTCTAAAGTCACAATAGAAACAGGTACAAAACGGAAGGGATGTGAGGTCGGAGGGACAACGGTGAGTAATTGGAGGTTGGACGCACAACAAGCTCCACATCCCAACCAGAGTTGATTGATAGGTTTATTGATTGATTGTATATTGAGAATGGGGAACCCTGGAGACGTGTGAGTGAAAATCTCGAGTATTCCAGGTAAAAAAGACTCAAACTGTCCAACCGGAAGAAACAAAGAGCGAACGAATTAGATAATCCCCCGTCAAAAGGTAATAACCAAAACATTGACAGAGAGAAAGGAAATGAGGATGGGTAGTAGGTGGGGACATCACGATGTGGTTTCCCGAAAACGGGCGCACCTCATGGCCCATTCCCGTGTACGGCTCCGATACAAAAATACGGTAAAGTTGAGTAAAAATGACCCAAAACGGATAAACAAAAAGTACTGAAAGTAGTTGTTATTGGTACTGTTGGTAGTGTGCTGACAGTTGCATGAACCACCATCTAACGAGAACATGAATGAAAAATTCTCTACAAAAAAGGAGCATCTTTGTTTCATGTGAAGACTGAACAAACACAGTAGCCATGTCTAGAACAAGAAGGCAAAAGGAAAAGAGCGAGATTATCACTGTTGAGCAAATAGGTGTTGTATAAGCTCTCAGTTGTTCTTATCTGGTCTTCTACGCAGTTGGAAAACCTGCGGTTGCCAGGGCTGAATTGAGCGCCAAGCTTCGATTGGCCGAGATGGCCAAAAGGGGAACGTGATAGTACTTGCAAGGAACTCGTGTACAACGACCCTTGGCAGCATCACGACAGACGACAACACGCCCTTGATTGACTTCGACATTCTCTGTAAACAAATGGAGATGCCGCGAACGATAAGTAGGTGGAAGCCCCGTAGAAAAAGCAGCTTCCCTATACCAAATCAAGAGAGAAACACTGTCTGCGACAAGCAATTTGATACACCCCGAGGCGTAATCATACTTGTCCTTCTGCTTAAACGTCATGTACTCATACAGCTTGTCAACAAGCCAATACATTTACTCTAATGTGATCCAGCTCATTGTGTACGTTTAGAGGTTGCCTCAGAAGACATTTCGAGAAACAAAAGAAAATTGACACAAGCAGACGTAGATCCCATTTTTTCTGGTTATGCCACTTCCCGGGACACGGGAAAGGATGTATTGTACCGGCCTCGCGAGCTTTGTCATCGTTCGAAAATTAGTATGATCTCCAACATCTATAACCACATCTTTCCTGGTACCTACATGATTGTATGTGGTCATTGTCTTTCAAGACCCTGAGGAATTCACTGTGAATCAGTTATATGTCCGAGGCAGGGAAAACTCTGATCATGTCTCTCTCTCTGTGAAAATGGTGACATGCTCAGTAACTTCGCTGACTTCAATCGATTACGGATCAGCAACACGCGCCTTCAACATCTGGAGAAGTATCTGTTAACATGGTATTCGAACGATGATCATATGGTGCACCAACCAGACCATATCCTAGTGAGATCTAGATGAACCTCATGCAGGGAGGGTTCTCGTTCCATTAAAGGAGCAGACGAAAAGAAGCAGAGTCGGATCACACGACAATCACAAGGTTTAGGGTCGCAGTTGACAACTTGTCCACAAGTTCGCCGTGTAAATAAATACAATACCACCCTCCTCGATTGTTTCGATGTATAACAACGAAAAAATCCGAAGCTTGTCCTGTGGTTCTCGGTGAGGTCAATACACAATGCACACACGTAGTTGATTCGATTACGATGCTGGTGGTAGACACGTCCACAGATGGACCATGCGGTTGCAAAACTAGGCTAGGGAGTTTAGACTGGAATACTCACCAGATTATCGCACGCTCTGGCGCCTGTCCATCAGCAACGCTTGGAATCCATTCTAGATTGACGGGGAAACCAGTATTGAATCCGCGTCGACTGTCAATAACTATGCGAGGCATTTTCATCCCTTGCGACAAGTCTCCGGGAAAAGATAATCTGCGGAATCCATTCCGCTCAATACATTCCTGACGCTAGAGGGTAACTTTCCCGATGAGCCAAACACCTCAGTAACATGCATTGGCACACGTCGATATCCAGCATTGAAATCTTAGAAAATCGTACGACTTGTGAAATTGTTTCGATCTTTGAAGGGCAGGCATATATAAACCAGTTCCTTCTCAACGTACACTAATCTCGGTAACGGTGTTAAGGACTTGGGGCGAGATGGTTCAAGTGGTTAGAGGGCGATTTTACTGACCGGAAGGTCCGTGGTTCGGTCCCGACCTCTACATCTCGACATCCCTTGTCTAGGCTTGGGCAACCTGGCAGCATCCCAGCCCTCGTGTTTCCTTCGGGTGGCACGGCAACTAGGCACCGGAAGGATGCTACAGCTGGACAATTTTTTTTTGCGGACTTTGTTTTTCGATAGAAGTGGATTGGAGACTCATGCTGAGATGAGTATATCATATAGCCGTTATAAGTAGGATTTCAGCGTGTCGCCTGAGCGAAGTCCCGTTGCTCTGTAAGTCTGATACGGTATGGCATCACTCTCTTGTTTTAAAGGAACAAAGCTGAGTTATAACGACTAAATTATATATTTGTCCAGCAGGGAAACCCAGTCCACCCTATGCAAAAACCATACAGTTTGTAACACCCTAACCGAGATTAGTATAAGTTGAGAAGTCGGTTTATATTTCGTCGTCCGAGACGGTAGTGTGGAGGTTTTGAACAATTACCATAAGGACTTACACAGCAGCGATGGAAACCCAACTAGAATATCCGACTAAAAGACAACCTGTCACGGTCCATAACCAGCCTTCTGTGTACTCGTCAGAAAGCCCATTCAGAGCACCATACATTGGTCGCACAGCATGGCGATTGTCTGACAGAAACCTGAACACTGTCAGGGAGGCAAACTCAACCCGTGGAATAAAAGGGTCCAATTGGAGCTTAGTTGCTATGTATTTGACTGAGTCTAATCAGATTGGCGTTCGAGTAGTATACCAAATCTTGGTAACCCCCCTCCCGAAGTTTACGATCGTTACGGTGATATCCATCCGGGGCGCAAAAACAGTTCGTAAGGACACTCAAATGCAACTGGTCGGCAGCGCCAGCAAACCAGAACAGATCCCCAATTATGTGAGGGTTGACAGTGACCTTTATTTCTGCTAGTTTTGAACGACGTTCTCTCTGGGTTACTGCTTTCCTATATAAAACATGTTGTAAAGAGCTCAAGTATATCACTTGTTTAATACCTCGCTTTGCTGATGACGTTTTCGGGTATATTCGAACGTTTGAAATAATCTATGTCATTGATCTATTGGGGGAAAGAACAAAGCCCTGCGTGAAGATATCATATACTGCTGCATGATTTACTCTGTTCAGTCTTTCACAGTGACGTGTTTTCATCCGATTGAAGCACCTGACTTCTAAAATTCTACGAAAAAGGTGACCAATCATTCTGTGACAACCGTCGTGCAGATTTGTTGGGTGTATTTGCTAGTCTTTACTGTTCTCTTATGGATCGTTTCGCTAACAAAAGAGACCAGCTTACTATACTTGGGGTCAAGCTCGGGAGGAAGGTTTCACTGACCAAATCCTCGCTTTGGGTCAGCGTTCTGGAGCAACGAGATAAATGTCAACAGATCAGTAGTCTGCAAAAAGTCCTCGAAGGAATGTGTCAGTGCTAGAGATCAACACTTCAAAAACGGTTTTTCTCAATCAGTCCAGACGAACCACTTACGATAAACAAGGTGGTACTGCAGAATATTCGTGGATTCAACTACCTCGGTCCAACCATTCTTCTAAACGGCAGGCGCCAGTAAGCGCCTTACGGTGTCTCTACAACTGAAGCGCGCAGTGTGGTAGAAAACACAAATTAGTCAGAAGGCTAGGATCAGAATCCATCAAGCCGATATCCGACCCGTTACACCCGCTTGTGAAACACGGTCGATGCACATTTGGGACATTGACAGAATAGGATTTTTCGACCATGGGCGATTGAAGAATATTCTCAAAATCGTTTGCTGAATAAATAAATCCGCTGTCGACTAGAGCAACCCCTCCAACAAAGTAAATTCTGACGGTTTAGAAACATTTTCGCCACCCATATGCTCACATATTCATGAGTATACGAGCTGCTTTCTCTTAGGAACCTAGTGTTGTTGCGAGGCGATCAACTGAAAATCTGGACCGACACCTGAATGTTTGAGTCTGTGAGTGGCTTACGGTCCACGCCACTGAAACCAATATTAGATCGATACCTGAAATAGCCTTGCCACTGAGCATTGGTGTTTGGGTAGCTGTGATCCCAGAAACATCCAATAAACCAACTCATCCTCACGCAGGAGGTAGTAAAGTGGGTCTAACCCAATCCTGAGATAACCGTGTTTTGTGCTAGTTTCGCAATCCTGAATGGCATTGGAGGCTTTCGGCGTACAGGAGTTGGATAACCGTGACTTGAAACGTTCGTTAAAACAGCTGGAAGGTGGGATGCATCAGTTCGAATAGTCTTTTTAACCGGCACCTATAGCGAAAACAACTATCCAATCAGATAAGTGTGAGAGCTGATAAGGTCAGTATAAAGCATTCACCTCTGAGGTCTTGAAGCTGTTCTGCACGGTTCATACACCAACTTGATTTTGGCATCCCCTTCATTTCTCGTGAAAGTGAAATCACAGAGAATGCAGGACCACAAACTATCGATCCAAAAAACAGCATACAACACTGTAAGGTCAACCTCTAATACAGATTAATCACCCGATCTCAGGCGAGGAATTCTTGAGTGTTGTACTGTCAAGGGTACGGTCTGACAGCATGCGAACGGTTACCAAACACCACTGATCTCTAAAGTAATGAAACACTTTCCACGACCAGTGTCCCTGATGCTATATCAATAACCGTTCCTGTGAGAAGCGAAAGTAACCGCACATCCGTAGACCCCAGATGTGCGGGAGATGATAAAAATCTAATTCAAATGTGCAGTTCAGCTGTAGCGCCTTCCCGGCACCTAACTGCCATGCCACCCGAAGGAAGCACGATGGCTGAGATACTGCCAGGTTACCCAAGCCTAGACGGGAGAAGTCGAGAGTCAGAGGTCGGGTTAGAACCACGAACTTTCCGGTCAGTAAATTCGCGCTCTAACCACTCGGGCCATCTCTCCCCAAGTGTGCTGTGACCGGCAAGTACACAGGTCGTGAGGCTATCTGCCAAACAAAAAGCCAAAGACCAATTTTATCGAAAAATTCTAACGTCCAAAATCCACACGCAACTTACCGTCGACCAGATGAACATATCGGCAGTCGGAATTCCGATGGCATTTTCCTGCTTTGAAATCTCGGCAAATGGGGAGCGTTTCCAAAAGCTGAAAAAAGGCAAAAATTCGATCAGAACGAAAAAAGGAACAGGTTGAGGTGACAAATCAAGTAAAGGTTAAATGCTATTCGGTGAGGCGGTAATTGTTTCAGTGAGATGACTGACCTTCGAACACACCAACAGTGGGCCTATAATCATCTACTGCCCAGTGTCCTTCCCTATCCAAAGAAAGCCCATTCCAGTATAACAATGAACGAACCTGGGATGACAGACGGATGACTGACTCATCTCGAATGATAGAATAACAGTGATCGTTGTTGCTATTGTGCGGCCTATCAGTCAATTGCCTGATGGCATTGTAGCACCGCTTCGCAACAGTAACAATAGTAATAATATCAGTATCAATAATAATAATTGTTCACTTGTAACATACTTCCAGTACCTAGAGGTTATGCCACGCGAAGGAAGCAAGACAACCGAGATACTGCCAGGTTGCCCAAACCTAGAGAGGACCAGTCGAGAGGCCGGAGTCGGGTTCAAACCACAGATCATGTGGTTAGTAAGCTCGTGTCTTAAACACTGAGCTATCTCGAACTCAACAACACGAATGAGGGCTAAGGTATAAAACTCCAGAACCTGTTGCAAACAATTTCACCCTATTGAACCAAAACGCTCTTCGGGAGGATGGGCATCGCCCATGATAGAGATCAGTCGGCTGTAGGTGCACATTTCAGTTTGACAGACTACAGACTGGAACTTTTGCATGTGCAATCAATCAACCGGCTACAGTGGTATGCTAAAGTGCGTCACGGTTTTTAGTTTCCAACTCTTGCATGGAGTATGGCAGTCCGAAAGAATATGCAAGCGGTCGAAATAATGTCCATTCATACGGTCCCTGTTCAGCAACGTTGTCAAGACGCACGAACGAACAGGTTTACTGTAGAGATCCGTCCAAAGAGCATTGTACGGTCCCTAATCCACTCAGGATGCGAACAACACGGTACGGGCACTCCCATTTGTTCGCGTACAAGTTAAGAAAGTAGAAGCTAGTGGGGCGGATAGGATGAGATTCCAAACGCAGCCGGCTGACACGTCCGGTATAAAAAGCAGGTGTCCTTAGAAAATAAGGTCACATGTGAGGCAGCATTCTAGTCAGTACTCCATGCAGAACATATAGGACCACATGTATCAACATGAATCGCACGACTGACAGATAAAGTAGCCCGGACAACTACAAGCACACACTGGTGGCTAATCTTGTCAATCCCTAGGACGATTAGAGAGGAGGGTCACAAGTAACAGAATAGATGAATTGAAGACAAGGTGTCGATAAGCTCTTGTTTTCGGGCACCGGCATTCCACAAGTAGACAGACCATCGTCACTGTCCCCAAAACTTACATCGGCTTATACCGCTGGAAAAAGACCCATGCTTATTTAGACAGAATAGGACGTCACGGATAACTGAACAGAGCAGAAAATGTCACGTGTGGCCACTATTGCAGTTACTTGTTGGTAGCCTGACAGCCAACTAAAGCAAGCTGACCCCATATCACATCTGCCTGAGTCAAGTAAAGTTGGGTAGGGAGACTGGTCATTCTATTCAAGAATGCTGCTGAATAAAATGAAACATATCACTTTTACTTACTCTTAAGTATGAACAGGACGGGTTAGACTACCGGTGTAATGTCAGTCACAAGGGTACATACGCAGGAAAGACCCTGGCGTTTGGGGGCTGAACCTATCCCCAGATGGATACCCTGACTTCTGGTCGTTGTTCACTTCACTGGTCATGTACCCAAAAGCCGTCTATACCTCCATAGGCGAACAATAAGCCATAAATAAAAGAAGTTCACTTTGATCGGCTGGCTTTTTTTTGAAATATCCAACCAACTGAGATCCTGTTGACTAAGGTCACCTAAGAAAAAAACAGCACAGACTAGAGGCGGTTGGATGCTCCTGAAAGTGCTTCCTTGATATAGTACTGTACTGCAGATTTGATGCGAAGAAGGTGGTCGCCCACCTTGCGAGAATTTTGCACGAATACCCCAGCTTTGGTAGTACGTCAAAATATTGGTGGCTCAGGGCAACGACGATGCCTCCGTGCGTGGTAACGAAACGTTTTCAGGCCAACTATCAAGTTCAGCGAAGAGATCAACTGCCACCTGATCAATAGCCAGACCCCAACTTTGTTCAATCTCAGATCAGTGATAAGATGCCCTAAATGGATAGCACTCCGTATACCAAATATGAGCGTTCGGTATCACTTCAAACGCTGTAAGAAATCAGCAACGCATACAGAACAAATAACGTTAATCTACCAGGGAAACACTCTACACCGTACAACAAATAAATTATCGGTGTTTTACTCAGTGCCATATTACATGGAAGTCTGGGTCAGGTGAGCGAACAACCGCGTGAGCTTCAATCCGAAACATCCGATCCTACAAGCGAATGGCGCCTTTCCCTTCTTGACCTCTAGTTGCGTCATATGTTATACCATTTCGTGTCCGAATGGTGCAGTATACGCACGTTCGGAACAAGAGAAGAACCAAAAAGGCTGGGACAGCACAAAATATAACTCACGTGGCCTTTGTCGTTGATATACGCAACATTTGTTATTGGGTTTTGAAGGCATGGAACAGCCGATGCATACGGATTACCAGGGATCCCGGTCAACGAACCCGGAAAGGAGTCTGTGTGAGGTAGAAAGGTGGTAGGGTGGAGAACTTAAGTTTAGTGTTCCGACGGACAATCGCCTTCGTCAGAAATCGATTCACCTCATGCAAACACCAGCGCGATACACAACGGACCGATGCGATGCGATACATTTTCCATGTGTGTTTACGCGGCTACGAAACCGAGTACGTTTGGGTCAACTCGGAAGAACGCACCACACAGAGACAAACACACGTGTCATCCTGTATCGGTTCACATACCACACACGAAACCTAGCGTGCATGGACGGCGAGCGACCTTAAGCACAGTCCACTGAGGACGACCAACAATGGAGTGCCAGTGAATGATTTTGTCATTCGGTGAATTCATTCATAATATGCACCCAAGGGGAACTACGATGCACGACAATGAACAAAGACAGGGCAATATTTTTGGATAGAAAATATGTAGTGTCGCGTTCAAGTTTGCAAATAGGGTTGGTTAATTTATCCGCGGATGTATTCAGAGCGGGGTCTCCGTATACAGCGCCTTGGAGCATTCAAAACATTTTAAGGCTACTTTCACTGCTAATATGATCATATAATATAAATAATCGCTCCGCTGTCACACCTTTTCGGTGCCCAGCTGCCATGCCACCCGAAGGAAGCACAATAGCTGAGTTGCTGCCAGGTTGCCCGAGCCTAGACAGGAGCAGTCAGATGGCGAGGTCTGGTT